GTGTGTGTGTGTGTAAAGGGTCTCGGAATGCGGATGATATTTCGGATAGGGAAAATTTGAAAGGAAGAGGGGAAAATTAAAACTGCGTAGGATTATAGGGTTGGAAAGAGAAAGGATCGAGAGGAATAAGAGACGATATGGGGACCGAAAACAAGCCATCGGATCCTGCGATCCTCAGAATTACCTAGTCGTCGTTGGAGGGGGTAAAATAGGTCATGTATTCTAATAATTGCTAGGCATCATGGAAAAGGAGAGGAAAGTGCCCAGCATGGTGGATGCGGGCGAAAATCAGCGAGAAAAACTGGAGACGGATTGGAGATAGGGGAGTAGGAAATTTCACGTGGTGGGGAGAGTGTTGTAATGGGAAACTGTATGGCCGGAATCTATTCCCGGACCGATGACTGAATTGTAGATTGATTTCGCGGATTTATGGCGTTGTTAAGTCGGTCACGGGCAGCGATTCGGCGCGATCGGCTGATCCCGATTAGGCGGCGACGACGAGGGGTGAACACACTAAAATTTTAATCTTTAAAGTAAGGTCCCAAAAAAAAAGAAAGGAGGGGAGGGACCACCCAATATAACGTAATGAAATTAAAAACTTACTACTAAGATATGTAGGATAGTCCAAAAAAAAAAACCGCGGAGAAAGTGACGTCGCTCGTAAGATGCTGTGGCTCAAATTCGTCGGACTCCCCCGATCAAGGAACGCCGTTGATCTTGAGATGCACTGAGAGTGCCGTTGATTTAAAGTAGACGCACTAACTCTACTGGCGAGAGAGAGCTTCGTAAATTGGGTGAAAACTTTTGGATATCGCGACAACTGTAATCTCTCGAAACTTAGAGAAAAATCTCCATAGCCTCTCAAAACTTAGAGAAGAATCAGGCCGAGGACCGTGGAACCGCGATTTTTATACTAATCGCCTTCGATTAGTCAAATTCGTATTGATGGAATAGGTTTCGTTAGCTGGTAGTAGGATTTTCCTTTGCTCTCGGATTGGTCAAGATCTTGGGAGAGGAAAGAATTGTTGACAGGAGTCTGCAGTATGGGAAAGTATCCTCCAAAATTTTATGATCTTAAGATTTATTGGAAAACGCACATCTAGCGCGCTAAGAAGGCGCTCATGCATCGTCGTCACGAGACCACCCAGAATCTATCCCTGAAAGTCGTGTGCCGTTTCTTGGATTTTTGTAATTATGGATTCGCGAAAATCGTCCGTTAATCTTGGCGCCGGTCTTACGCTCTTTCCATACATATTTATTATTAATTTAGTCTATCTCGGAGCGACATTCACGAGGAGATACCAGATTCCTCGTTTTAGTTTTTAGTGTAGAAAAAAAAGGAAAGAAGAAAAAATTTTAGTATTTCGACGAATTCCAGATCTCCATGAAAGAAAAGAGTCGTGCGAGTCCGTCGGACGTAACAGCATCTTTAAGAAGCATTTTTGAGATATTTCATAAAGAACTTTAAAAAGTATCTTGTATAAAGTTGATTTTACGTCGATTTTAGACATCTTACTCATGGGGAATGAAAAAGTCAGCGTATTAAAATTTCCGGACATAATGCTTAAAAGCTAAAAATATTATCACACACACATATAAATACACACGCACGCACGCACGCACGCACGCACGCACGCACGCACGCACGCACGCACGCAC